AAAATTGTTAAAAATTGGGACTGTCCCGTCAAAAGCGGGATGTCTGCCCTGGGGTGGGGAGGGGGCGCAAACGACCCTTTCACAGGGTTCACCCGATTCATAACAGTAGCAAAATCACAGTGATAAAGTAGCAACAAAAATAATTTTATGGTTATGGGGTCACCACAACATGAAGAACTGTATTAAAGGGTCGCTGCCTTAGAAAGGTTGAGAACCACTGGCTTAAAAGTTTCACCCAGCCTCCATGGGGCCAGAAAGTGTGGGGTCTGTGATAATTTGAAATTCTGGTCGACAGTTCCCTCCTCTTGATCAGTGTTCTTATGTGGATCTTTGATCGAAGTGTTCAGTAATGGTAGCCAAGCACCATCCAGCTCGTTGGATCTCGTGGCAAAGAGGCAGTTGTTCATGGAGGTGATTAGCCTCACTTTCCAGATCCTCCGCTTATTCCTGACCCTTTTTCTTTCTCGGTTGAATGGAGACCAATTGAAACTTGGCTGGCCACTCGTGCGCTTTTCAGCTCCCAGGCACAATGCAAGGAACTAAGAGGCAGAACAGAAGCACTAAATACATTATTAGGTCAATTATTTGGGGTATTCCAAAAAAAGCATGAGCCTAATCCTCCAAACCAACGACCCACGTCCCATGAGTGTTCAGATGTCCATAAGTGCTTCTCTGGTGTTTTCTTTCTTTTCTTTTCTCAAGTAGGCTGGCATCTTTCCTGAGTGCTCCAAAATAGTTGTCATTTGTCATATGTGCTTTTTATCTTTTGTCTGGAGAGGAGCAGGGTGCCAGCGCGAAGGTATCTTCCTGACAGGGCAGTGAGAAGATGGAGATAATTCACGATTTACCCTAAATTTAAATTGTTGCCAATGAGAAATAGCTAATAAAGACGCTTGCCTAGGAATTAGTCAACAGTGGAGACCCTTCCTCAGGGTCGTAGGAGTCATTTGAAATCTTTGATTTTTATTAACTTTCTCCCCAAATGTCCTCTGCTGTTCTTTCGTTGTCCGTGAGAACTGGGCAGTTGCATCTCGGGTGGGAGGCTGATGAGTAAAATGGCAGTCAATTATTGATAAGTAAAATGGCAGTCAATTATATTTATTTGGGGCAGCCCGTTTGATTTGTAGAGCTGGAGCCGGGAAGCTTTATTTCTAGCTCCGAATGCGCTGGGGTTTCCGTGTGTGCCCGGCTCGTGTCCTCGAACGGCACAGTGACGTGGGCACGTCGCCTCGGGTACACGAGGGGGGTTTGCACTGAGCAAGCGGTCTGCAGCCCCACGCACGGGGCACACGCAACGCACCCCGCCCTGCTCCTCGGGGCCCGTCAGTGCGCATGCGCGTCCCGGCCGTCAGGGTCGGGGACGCGCTTTGCCCTTTCACCAGCGGCACCCAAGGCGGGGGTGGGAACGCACGCCCCGCCTCCGCCCGCAGCCAATCAAACTCCCGCACGCTGGGTGGGGCTTCTGGGGAGAGGCGGGGCGTGTCGGAGGGGCGGGGCTCCCTCGAATGGCAAGCGCCGCGGCCAATCGATGCGCGCTCTGTCCCGGCTGCCCCGCCCCGCGCGGCCGCGGCGCCCTCCCCGCCGGGCGTGAGAGGTGGGCCGGTGTCCCTAGCTGCTCTGTTCGTGCGGGACGCCCGAGTGTGCGGTGCGGTGGGCTGGCGGTTCCGAGATGGCCGAGGCGTCGCAGAAGCCCGTGACGTACTACACCCTAGAGGAGATCCAGAAGCACAACCACAGCAAGAGCACCTGGCTCATCCTGCACCACAAAGTCTACGACCTGACCAAGTTCCTGGAGGAGGTGCGAGCGGGGGAGCCAGCGGGCCCGGGAGCCGGGCCGAGGACCCTGGCGTCGGGGGCCCGGGAAAAGGGCGGGCTCTCAGGGCGGGCAGTGGGTCCTCCTGGGTCGCACATCCTGGTCTGGGCTGGGGCCGGACATCTTCGGGACGGTGGAGGGAGACACGGGAGCGGGGTGCGGACTGAAGAACTGGGGTGCACCGTCCGGGCTGGGCGTGGGAGCGGCACGGGGCGCGGTGGGGTGGGGACGCGGGGCCATGTGGACGGACAAGAGGGCAGATGGGTGCACCGCCCGGGCTGGGGCCGGGGGGCAGGTGCTGCGTCCCTTGGGTGAGAAGCAGCGTGGTGATGCAGACTCTGCCCTGGTGCCCCTTGGCCTGAACCCAAGGCCCCGGCCCGGAGAAGCTGAGCCGAGCGGCTGGGGGGGTCTGGCCGCGTCCACAGCGCTGAACCCCGTGGACACGAGGGGCTTTGCGGGCGGTCGAGCCCCTCGGAGCGCGCGGCTAGGGCGCGGACTGGGTCTTCAGCAACTTTGCAGGTTGTAAAGCAAAGTCCCCGGAGTACACTTGTTGGAGGGGGGGGGTCTACGCTGTAGCGATCCTTTTTGCTGAGTTCCAAAAGGCTTTTCTGGAAGCGTCTTTGCTGCCTGTAGATGTGTTTTGCCACTTCGGCGACCGTTTTTGAATCATAACCCGTGTTGGACACTCATCCCTGCCCACTACCCCATTGGGAATGTTTGCTGATGGGAATGGTCTGCCTTGTTTTTTTCTGGGGGTTGGGGAAGCAGAGGTCTGGCCTTAGCCTGGATGGACATCCAGAGACCTGTGTTTGAGACTTTGAGGAACAAACGACAGCAACCATTTTTCCGTAAGTCAGAGTTGATGTAAGAGAATTTGAACTCACATTATCTTTTGATTGAGTGCCAAGAGATAAACCTGTTTTGGTTTGTGGCAAGTGGTTCAAAGTCTGGAAGCAGATTTGCCATACGTGCCCACTTTGGCTGTACTGATGATAACGTTTGTGTGTGTGTGTGTGTGTGTGTGTGTATCCCACAAAGTCTCATGCCATCAGTGAGCTTAATTGTCCTGAAAGATAATTTCTGGCCTAATCAGCTCTAAATATCTACTTACAAACAGCCCCCCTCCACTATAGATGTCAAGGGAAACCCTACTCTGTCCGTAGGTCACTATCAGTCAGAATTGACTCCATGGCCTCTGGTAGTGTGCGTACTGTGTGTGACGGTGTCTATGACAGAAGAGTAACATTTATACTAGAACGGTATTTTCTTCTTATGAATCCCTTGCCGTCTCTTGTTTTAAACCATCCCAGTGTACTTCATAACCAGATTAAACCCACTACCATAGAGTTCATTCCAACTCTGAGTGGCTTACCTCACACCCACTCCTAGGCTGGGGTTTACACCTTGAGCACTGCTGGGATTTGGGTTGAATCTGTGCTGAAGGCTGGCCTGGATAACGAGAATAGCCAGCCCCATCGCTGGACCTCTACCTCCCCCTTGTGATAACCAAATTTGCCTCCAAATCACTGCCATCAAGTCTATTTCACTCAAAAACTCTACTATTGAGACAGTTCTGACTCATCCTGACCCTTAGAACAAAGTAGAGCTACTCTTTGGGGTTCTGGAGGCTTTAAATCTTTGTGGGAGCAAACAGCCTCATCTTTCTCCTTCAGAGCACTGGTGGCTTTGAGTCACTGACCTTGTGACCAGTTACGGGCCAGTGCCAAATGCCCCTCCAGAGGGAGTTGCAAACTGGCGCCTGGTTGACAACCACTGCCCTTCGTGATATAGAAATGGAAGATTATTATTAAATTCTGTTATAAACCCTGTGCTTTTGCCACTTCTCCTTGATGAGGTCGGAAGGGATGAGGCGGGATTGTGTAAACGTTTTCTGAGAAGAACTGGGATGGAACAGAGAAGCTGGTCAGTGGGTAGCACCCCCGAAGACGAGGCTTTCTTGCCTGCTGGCTTTCTCCTGCAAGATGTTCCATACCCCATCTTTGGGGAGAATACCTTTCATTGTCTGAAAGGATTCTGAAATGATACCTAGTTTCGTGACTTTGGAGGGACCAGCACCTGGAGAAAGGACATCAGCCTTGGTAAAGTAGAGGGGCATGGAAAGAGAGGAAGACCCTCAAGGAGGTGGGGTGACATGGTGGCTACGACAGGGGGCTCAGGTGTGAGGATGGTGCAGGAGCGGGCAGTGGCTTCCTGTAAGCCATGGGTCACAACAGTCGGCAGGCTGTGGGTGTCTTCAGGAGTCGGGAGAGGTGGTGCTCCCAGAGCTGGTGGACAGCATGAGGGAGGCAGAGCACCCAGGTGGTGTGGACTCTGCGCCACCTGCCCCGTGCACCTGAGCCTCGTTCTGGTCACACCGCCTTTGCCATTGCCTTTGGCCTTCACTCTGTGTCTATCTCAGGTTCATCTAGTGCCCACCTTCCTGGCCTCCTGCCCAGGTGTGTTGTAGCTTACATAAACACACACACCTGATTGAGAGGTCACCAGCAAGGCGTGGTTCTTACCTGGCTCCTCCAAGGTTCCATTGGTTTGTGAACCAGCACAGTTTATCTCATGCCTGCTTTTAAAGTGGGGAGAAGCGCCTAGCAAGGTCTTCGATCTGCTGTCTGTCCGTCTCCTTGCCCAGCCTGCCATCGTTTATACCTCCCTGTGGACTGAAGCATTGGCATATGAACTAAAGAACAGACCTAGGAGTGGGGCTCACTTTTTGGTGGCGGTTTTCCCTGTTCAAATCCCCCAGCTGCTCTGGGAGGGACTGCCTGGCGGTCAGCTCCTGTAAAGACAACAGCCTTGGTAACCTCTGGGGTAGTGCTGCTCTGCTAGGGGGTCACTGTGGGTCATGTTTCTGACAGCATCAGGCTCTGTACAGATGCCGATGCACTCTTGCGCGCTGCTTCCCCGGTCTGTCACTCGTGTGAGTAACTGAAACCTGATTGTGTACACCTGCCTCTCCCACTTTGTGGGCCTGCCTGGTTCTTAGCAGGTCAGCGTATGGGATATGATGGTTTCCAGCCTTGTTAGCCTGTAAGCTCTAATCAGCGTGCAGCTGTTGTGTAGCTCCCCTCCCCTCCCACCTCTCCCACCTCTCCCACAACATGGACTCACTCAGTTGTCCAAGGTTTAGAACCTTCAGGAACGTAGCACGGCACAGATGAAGCTGTGCATTGCAGGGGCAAAGGCTGCTTGCCTGTCAACTTTGCACTCTGCCCTCTTGGGAACACCTAGTACCTCGGGGCAGTTCTGAACTACCTGGTCCCTCCTAAGGCCCATGCCAGGGAGAACAGACCTGCTGTGCGTGGGCCGCTTTGAACAGCACGGAAATCCTGGGAAGGAAAAGGAGCAGAGATGTGCCACGTTGCCTCCTGGAAACCTCTGCAAGGCCGAGAGAGCACCGGTCCCTGGGGCCTTCAGGCGGGGGTTATTCCCATACTGTAGAGCTGCATGGCCTGGCCTTGGGGATCAGTGGCTCCGTCCCTGGAGAGATTGTGTACATGTTGCAGCTCTGTCTTGAGCCCACTTGGAAACGAAACGCCGCTGCTGTTACGGAAAAGCCTTCTTTAGTATCTGCCCTTGGAGGCATTGCCCCAACGGGGAACTGGGGAGGCCACTGTCCTTCTCGTAGCCCCAGAATGGCTTCCACTGACCCCTCACCTGCCCCCGACCCAGACCCTACCTTCCTCAGAGGCAAAGTCTGAAGGGACCATACAGCTAAGTATACATGGCAAACCTTCTAAAGGAGGCTGGGGTTAGGTGGAGTTCTTGGCAGGCATCACAAGCATGAGCAATGGCAGAAAACTAGGCAGAAGCCGGACTTCACTGAAAGTACTCCTGCGGCAGATACTGGGGAAGAGTCTTCCCAACTAGGGGGAGACAGAGGTCCTGCGAAACTGAAATTCAGCTGTCAAAAACAGCAGTGCAGAGAGATTGGCAAAGGATTTGAGCAGCAGACACGCCGTGAAAAAAGACCTGTGGATGGCACGTAAGCACAAGTTGCTCACCTTGGTCAGCCATGGCGGAAATGCCTGGTAAAGTCCCAGTGAGGGCCCAGCCTACTTCTGCTGGGACAGCGGAAGCCACCCCTCCATAGTGCCACCTGCTAGCTGGTGAGTTTGCAGACAATCTGCAGGTAGGGATGCCCAGTGGTGCATTGAAACCATACACGTGTGCGTACCTGTCACCCCAGCAACCAGTCCCCTTGGGTATTTATCCCAGGGAAGTGCAAACCCCTTATCCCCAAACCTGGACAAGTTCCCTAATAGCTGTTTTGGTTGTAGCCCCAAATTGAAAGCAACTTGAGTATCACCCAACCTGTTGGGTGAATGGTGGTTAAATTCTGTATACAAGGGGCTTCCAAAACTTCCTGGACACATTCTGTTTTCTTTACATGCATCCCGTTTCTCCCAAGAATTTTTTGAAGCCCCTTACATACACATATCCCACCCGATAAAGAGGAAATCTGTGTATTGCACACCCAGATGGGGAATACCACTTGGCGATAAACATGCCAAATGGAAACAAAGGAGACAGCTTTCAAGGATCCCACGCAGCATGATTCCATTTACCTCACAGTTGGAGAACAGAGCAGCTGCCAGGGGTCAGGGAAGAGGCCATGGGCAGTTCCTTTGTGATCATGGCTACAGGTCTGTCTTACCTGACAAAGGCTACATCCCTACACAACGGCCTACCAGAGCAAGCAGAATGATGGGTGAAAGCCGGCCAGCTCTGCAGTCTGACGGTGTCCAGGTTTTGATGTGCCCGATTGTTAGGTGGCATGCCACCTGAGGGAATGTGGGTGGTGGGTACACAGAACCTCTCTGCATGACATTTTGCAACTTGTTGAGTCTGTAACTCTACTAAGAAGAGTCAAACCACTGTGACAATGGTTCCCCATCATTTTCATGATCAATGCCAAAATCTGTTCAGGGGTTCCAAGGTCATGTGTGGTTTGGCCCAGAGGAAGGGTCCAG